TGGACTGCTAAAAGAACTAAGAAGTCTGTCCCAGAGGAAGTGCAGCCAGAATCCTCCTTGGAGGTAAGAATGGTCAGACTTCGTCTCACATACTTTGGTCATGTTGTCAGAAGGGACCATTCCCTGGAGAACGATGTCATGCTTGGTAAGGTGGTGGGATGACAAAAGAGGGGAAGGCCCTCAATGAGAAGGATTGACACAGTGGCTGTGGCAATGGGATCAAGTATAGCAGTTATCATGGACCTGGTGCGGGACCAGGTGGTGTTTTGTTCTGGTGTGCATAGGGTTGGAGATGACTTGATGGACCTAATAAGAGCTACTCGGTGAGGTGACTGGTGTCCAGGTCTGACCTGGCTGAGGCAGCATCCAGTAAAGAGCAACACCCAGAAAGCCTTGTTGTTGTTGTTGTTGTGTGCCATCGAGTCAGACCCGACTCATAGCGACCCCTCCCTGGGTTGCTGAGGCAGTATCACTACGGAAGTAGATTGCCCAACCTTCCTTCCGAGGAGTGGCTGGTGGGTTCTCTTCCGAGAACCGCCAGCCTTCTAGTTAGCAGTCCAGTGCCTTAGGCACTACGCTACCAGAGCTCCTCCCAGAAAGGCCAGGAAAGCAGATTTCTGGGTCCCACACTCAGAGATTCTGATTCAGTGAGTCTGGGGTCAGGCCCAGGGCTGGTGTTGGATAGCACACACTGGATTCTGATCAGTGACCCTGGGCCAGACACGCCGCTGGGCACATAGCTGGTTGAGGGCAGACAGAGCAGTGCAGCAGGAGAGAGGCTGGACCCACTCAGTGGGGACTGGCAGAACCCCTGCCATTACGAGGGCATCAGAGGAGCCCCTAGTTAACTCAGCCCACCAGGCCCCACCGTGTCCAGCGTAGGTGCAGTTCTGACACAGACTGTGTACCATTTATTTCTTCTCCCCCTCCCACCCCCACCCCGTTGCGTCCCACCCCACCTGTGGAGCTTCCTGTATCTGGAGAGCAGCTCTTTGTTGGGGTCCCTGGTTTATTTCTAGCTCATTTGCCAACAAAATGGCACCCTGGCTCCTACTGGTCCTGAATTCTCTCACGTCTGCCTCACTGCTAGCAGCATCCCTGTGTGCTCACTGGTTCTGTTCTCTTCTTTTACCAACACACATGGATTCCTTCTTGCCTCTTGTCTACTTCAGATATGGAGGTCTCTTAGACCGTGTTCTCTCCCCCAGCATAATTTAGCTATTTAGCTCTTTACCTCTTAAAGTGCACTGATTTATACAGACAGACCTGTTTACTGAGGCAAACGAGGACCAGACAACACCCGTCAGTCTGTCGTACTGTGTAGCCTGTGTGTTGCTGCGAAGCTGGAGGCTGTGCCACTGTATGTCACGTGCCAGCAGCGTTGCCCACGGTGGGCAGGCCTCAGTGGAGCTTCCAGATTAAGTAGGCTAGGAAGGAAGGCCTACTGATCAGCTCTGAAAATCCACCTCTGACACCCCATGGGCCACAAGGGGACAGTGTCAGATATTGGCCGGAGGGTGAGATGGGGTGTGGGGATGGTGCAGGACTAGAAAACGTTTGGTTCCGTTGTCCCTGAGGTTGCCAGAGTCGGAGCCCATTCCACGCAGCTGACAACAACAGAAGCTCATAAAGTTCCATGAAAAGCAACACGGGTGCGTAGGAGTCTGTGACTACTTGCTGTTGCTAAGAGGTGTGAGTGCACAGTCACACACTGAGTTTATTTTACGTCAGGCCCCACGGTAGCAATCAGAAGGGTCTAAGCCAAGGCTCATGTCTCCACAAAGCTTACAGTCTTGTGAAGGACTTGCCCCCTTTCTCTGTTTTCCAAGATAAACTAAAGATGCGACTTGCATTATTCAAGAGACGTGAAGAGGAGTGAGGTTGAAACATCCTCTTTAATCCTCCGAGGTTACTTTATGTGCAGCAGGTTTCCCTGTGATTCGAACCCATGGAGAGCAGGGGCATGCTAGTCAGGCATTCCGGCCGCGTTATTTCCTCCCGTGCCCAGTGGGAGGCCCAGGAGGGGCTCTGCTCTGACATAGCCGACACCTGCCACTCTGGTGACGGCACATCCCTTGCCTGCCTTTCAAGTGTGTACCCCAGGCTTTGTCCCTGAGGACTACTTGGGAAACTTCAGGGAAGGACTTGAGGGTGGGCGGCTGACACATGAGGTGGCCCTTCAGTACACTGACAGTTACCGGTCCTAGGGACAGCAGGTGAACAACGGTCAAGGGGCCTTCCAAAGCCATCTCTTCCATGTATGTGGTGTACTTCCAAGCCAAGAACCATGACTGAGTTCTGTCTGGATTACCTGGTGCCACACTGTAAAAGGCTTTGCCTAAGTTCTCAGGAAATGCCTGTTTGTTCTCTAATACATGATTGTATTTAATTTTTACAGCTGTACCGAGCTCACGTGGCCTTCCCGGACTTTTTCCGGAATTCCACTATCACGTGGTGGAAGAGGGAGCTGAGAGAGCTGTACACCAACCCACAGAGTCCAGAGAAAAGCTTGAAGTACGATGGCATGTGGATTGTAAGTGTGTGTGTGTGCAGGATGTGCATGGAGTATGTGTGTCTTTGTGGTGTGTGGGGGGGTCTGTGGGTGGACTCTGTGTGTATGCAAGGTGTGCATGGACTATGTGTGTGTCTGTGTGTGGATTATGTGTGTGTGTGTATGTGTGTAGGGTATGTATGCAGGAGGTATGATGTGTAGCGGTATGTGTATGGGGTTTGTATGTGTGCCTGTGTGTGGTATGTGTGTGGGGTGTGTGTGTGTGTGTGTGTGTGGTATGAGGGGTGTGTGTGATGTCTGTCTGTATGCATGTGTATGGGCATTGCCTATCTTTGTGTATCTGTGTGTGTGTGAAGAGTGTGTGTGTGGAGGGTGTGTGTGTGCAGTGTGTATCTGTGTGGGGGTGAGTAGAGTGTGTCTTATATGTATCTGTGGATGGGTGTGGTGACTGTGTGTATACAAGTGCATATAAGTGTGTGCAAGATAGGCATTGCCTATCTTGGTGAATCTGTGTGTGTCTATGTCTAGTGTGTGTTTATGTCTTGTGTATATGTGTGGGGTGTGTGTATGTGTGTACCTGGTGCGTGGTATATGTGTGGTGGTGGTGTGTCTCTGAAGAGTGTGTGTATGTGTGAGTGTGTTTGTGGCATTTGTGTGTGTACATATAGATGGACATTGCCTATTATGTGCATCTGTGCATGTGGTGTAAAGGTGTGTAGTTGGGGTATATGTGTGTGTGTGTGTACATGTGGATGGGCATTGTGCATCTCTGTGTACCTGTCCCTGTGGTGTATGTGTGATGTATGTGTGCATACATGTAGATGGGTGTTGTCTGTCTTTGTGTATCTGTGCCTGTGGTGTATGTGTGTGATGTATGTAAGTATACACATGGATGGGTGTTGTCTATCTTTGTGTATCACTGGCCTTTAGTCAAGGGGATAATAGCTGTCCAGGAAAGACTTTGGATGTAGCAACACATCCCTCCACTCGGGAGAGGAGCTGCTCGGTCACCCCTTGCTTGCCCCCTGACTGGAAACCTGCCATGTGACTGCTCACAATCCCTCGGACTGAGCCTCTGCTCATGCCCAGGGTGATTTACTTCACTCTCTAGCCATGGTTCTGTCGGGGTTAATGGACCTTCGTGGCCAGTCCCATCAGGACTCGACTAGTCCCCCTTGCTGGTGGCCATAAGGATTGCCAGATGGTGAAGGCATTGTCCACTGTCTGTCTCTGAGTGGGCAGGACAATTATTTAAAACAAGGTCGACCTGTGTTTCATTCCAGGACATGAATGAGCCTTCGAGCTTTGTGAATGGGGCCGTCCCTCCAGGCTGCAAGGATTCCACCCTGAACCACCCTCCCTACATGCCAGGTGAGGACCCCTTCCACAGCCCAGGCTGGTGTACCCTGACTTCCCGGTCTGCTCCTCACTGGAGCAATCATTTATCAGGGACCAAAGACAAAGGCACTTGCAGTCCTTGCTCTACGTGTGTGGAGACCACTGGTAGCGTTCCGTAATTCCTGGAATCTGCTCCGGAGCACTTGGCATCGGTAATATAGGAGTCCCGGCCAAGGTGCTTGCTTCCTCAGACACGTAGTGATGTCCTCACAGGAAAGCATGGGCCACAAGTGGGTGTGAAGCGAGGCTTCCTCTTGTCCTGGAATCACTGGACTTTGGTTCATGCTCTTAATCTCCAGAAATTACTCTGAATTATGTGGCCATCAGCCAATTACTTACTGTCTCCAAATCTCAGTGTTCTCAGCTGTAAAGAGGCGAGGGATATCTTCTTCCCAGAGTTAGAGTCACATGATGTAATTTCATGTCAAAAGTCTAGACCAGAATACGACACAGTGAGTGTCTGCAGGGTGGCTTCTTGCTGGCCCCATCTTTAGTAAGCATTCTGCAGGGTGGCTGTCACTTCAGTCCCCTGTGCTCAGTAAGCATTCTACAGGGGGGCTTCTTCCCTGGTCCCACCTTCAGTAAACATTCTGTGCAGTGGGTTCTTCCTTGGTCTCCTGTC